GCTCGGCTTGTTCAGTTGATAGCCCAGAAATAAAGGAGTAATATTGCTGCTGGGACTTGAAAATGTGCCACATAACAACCGTAAATTTCATGTCCAAGATATCTCGGCGACGAGGAAGCCGCTGCGTCTTGCGTTTTCTGCTGAAACCATATCTAGCCACGGCTCTTGACACAACTAGAAGTAGAGTACGTCGTAGGGAATCGGCGTCCTCGAAGTGCTGTCCCGACTCGTCTAACAGCAAGGACTCTTTACCGAGCATGGCGTGGCTCCTCATAACGTCTCCGCATGATCTGGGGTCGAAGAACTTGTTGCTGTAGGATATCATATTGGCAGCTTTACTGCCCTGCTCCAAATCGCTCGCCTTCAGGCTGCGTGACCAATCATGGCGGAAAATGGCATTGAGGACTTCCCATGAGAATGGTGTTGAGATAACACTCCGCTGATCAAAAACTCGTATTTGAGCCTCCATCTCCGCAATATGTGACAGGACATCAATATCCACGTAGCACCGATCCTCGAACAAGCCTTTCAGAATACCAGCGTAGGACTTTCCTAAGCCCGAGCTCCCAGTCGTACCACGATAGACACGAAATAATTCGTCAGCAGTTCTATTGCATTGAGGAAGCTTCTCAAATACAGTGTAGAATGCACGAAGTATACTCACCGGTGTTTTCTGTACCACATTCGTCTCCTGTAAGTTTCTAGCGATACTTTGCATAACCAGTAGAGCTTCTGAGGCCTTCGCACGATTCATGATACCCAAACTGCTAGGGATAACCAACTTCATCGTATTGCGCAAGGTTATCGGGAAGAAGTTCATAATGAGCGAGAAAAACTCGTCTAAGTCTTCCACTTCTTCTCGGCTGAAATCGTCAAGATCTGAGGCCTGCTTCATCATTTGCCAGTCTTGATGCATCCTCAAGACCAATCGGGAGATGTGCTTGCCCTGCATGAGCTTCAGTGGGAAACAAAGGCTGTCGTCAGATACCTCCACCACGCACGCAGAAGCCAAGTCACTGAAGTTTAAATCCCACGGCCCTGAGCAGCCGCCACTACGAGCGAGACTAGAGCATACAGCAGAGCTAAAGAACCCCAGCACAGTCTCAGTGCAACCAAAGTCTATCAAGCATCCCATCGTCCCAACCACACGTTGCTCATCTGGTTGTTTCTGACATTCAGTGACACTCTTCACTGTTGGAAGTTCTGCGGCTCGTAGACGCCAGCGCTCAAGGCATCTCTTGCGGGTGTCTTTGTCAACGCGGAAGATGAAGTGGACCTCCTCGATCTCACCGTCTTCTAAGATCTCAGGGTCATCTTCAAGATCATTATTACCGGGAAAAGTAGGGTTTTCAACCCCACTCGTAGTGCTGAGGCCTTCAGTGCACGGAACCGTCTCAGAGTTCGCAGCCGTTGTATCACCAGTAGTGACAACGCCTACGTTTAGTTTCCCGCGGAAGGTATCTAAGAGAACGACAAAATAATGGATTAAACTAAATAAGATCGGTATTATTACAAAAACTTCTTCAAGTTGATAAAGCTTATTCATTCACTTAATTTCATAG